AAAAATGCCAAAAGGAAGACGTGCTAGATGGATCATGGAACTGCAACAACATCATTTTACCATTGAACATAGAGCAGAAAAACATAATGCAAATGCCGATGTATTGTCTCGCATGTATGATGAAGAAACTGCTGAATGTTTTATTATTGACCTTATCGAAACAGATATAGCTGACAATGAATATGAAAACAATAGTATAAAGGAAGATATAGAATGGCATATTACTTCTCCCGAATCTGGAGAAAATGATGAATGGTTCAAAGAGGAATTGTCTCGACAATACTCTAATACTGTTTTAATAACTGTCATTGGATATAAATCTCCTAACGAGGAATTAGAGGAAATTTATCGTGAAAACATAAAGGTTAAACAAGTAATCTCTGGACAACCCATCACCAGAGAAGGATCACAATGCACTTTTTCTTATGATACTGAAAACCATTATGTTTATACATATTACAAGGCATGCAAGAAAAATTTATTATACAGAACTATTATACATGACTGTATCATTGGGTATGGTTTAGGAAAAATTCAACTAGACATGAAACCAGAATACTTAACTAATGACCTCTAGTGGGAAGAACCTCTCTTAGTATAACAAGAAAACCTTCGTGCACAATTACACTTTCATCTTAGTGACATTGATAATGCACCCCTCTCCAATTCTTATTAAAGTTAATCATTAATATAATATAAAGAATTAAGTGTAAGCGAAAGTGTTTACAGTGTGATAAACAGCTTAAATTCTTAAGCATGGAAGAACAATAATATAATCAACTATTTAATTATTTAACCAACCAAACATATCCAACTACCCTTAATCAAACACAACAACATAAATTAATCGTATTATCAAAATATTATATTACCAAACATAATTTATTATACAAAATTAACAAGAATAACCCAAGTAACCCAATTAGAATACTCAAGAAAATGGAATTGAAACCTGCACTTTACATATTTCACAATGATCCAACTGCCGCTAATAATTCAAAAGAAAAGATGATGAAGAAAATTAGAAAATGTTTTTATTAGCCTCAAATGTTTGAAGATATTAAGAACTATGTACAATCGTATGACTCTTGTCAGAAAAGAAGAAGAGCCTCAAGAATAGAACCCCTGCATCCTATCTCTATAGGATAACCTTTTCATCGTATTGGAATAGATTATGTCAGACCTCTACCAGCTTCAAGTAAAGGAAATAAGTATACACTACCCTATAATAAATTACCAGATTTTATAAATTTTACTTAGTAATATATAGTAAAATTGAAGATATTCAGATTTTATAAAAGTTT